CTATTTACTGGAGGGCTGATGGAGGGGCAAGAAGAAAGGGGAGGGCAGGCAATGCACTGTGTATTCTTTATGATTCTGTATGGCTGCAAATCCTTACACAAATCATTGGGATCAAAGGGCCGAGGTGGATCTGGATCCCATTCATCCATGTCAGTGTCTTCCCCATCTTCTTCCTCATCTTCATCCTCATCATCCTCCTCTTTTGTTTCTATCCTTTCCATCTGATTCTGCAGAGGTGCCAAGGGGTCAGAACCATCCACTGCCTCCATAGGAGGTAACACCTGGTTATGCACCGGTAATGATGCCTGAGGAGAGAACCCACAAAGAAGCAATCTGGATTGATTCCCAAAGGAAAACAGACTCACAGAGACAAGCAATGAAGGTCCTTGCTAGTCTACCCTTCCTGCTCCCTTTGGCAATGGACAGGAGGACAGGGGAAAGTGAACAACATGGCAAACATGCCGAGGGATGTTGGGCTGCTGCTGACAGCCTCTCTCAGGACACCTCTGTGTCACTCCCTAGCTCCACCCTGCCAGGGACTCAGCCCTCAGGGGAACAAACTGAGATCAGAGGAGCTCTGGACACTCACAGGAGGTCTGAACCCAAGTCCAGGCTCTGTGGAAATTAGCTAGAGCCTAAAGCTGCATTTCACCTTCTTTCGTACAAGAGACAACCCTGCACTTTGGCACATGATCTATCCTTTACAATCCAACAAATCCAACCCCCAGAGCACACAGGTACAGATCAGTGAGGGCTGAGGTAACTGTGGGGACTAGATATAAACTATGGGACATGAAGAACAGCTGAGGGCATTGTATTCTTCCACTAATTTTCAAGTTTATCCCTTTCTTTCCCTTAAAAAACCTCCAACAATTGATGTGCAGTGCATATTCCATCACCCACACAGGTTTCAGGTGGAGAACAAGAAATCCTACACCCAGTGAAGCTGCCTGAAAACACTGGCAAGGAGACCCAGTGGCTGTTGTTGTCACAGTCAGCATTACACCTTCTGTTAACTTTGCTTTCCAGCACTGAGAGGAGAATTTTAAGGTGGCTGCTCAGGCAGAACAGGTTTCTCTGTGTATTAAACACATTGATCTCTCCTAAAAAACCCCACACATTCCATGGTGAGACTATGGAAGACAGTACAGATCTGCACTACAGCCTTCTCACACCTCCTCCCAGCTCAGCCATCCCCTGAGATGATGGAGCAATGGAACCAGAGCACTCGTACATGGAAAAGGAAAGGGATCCTGGCGACTTACTCTATCTGCTTGTGGCCCCTGCTCCAGAGCCACTGGCTGGGGGGGGTCAGCAACGCTGCCGAGCACGGACAGGTTGGTGGGATTCATGCTCTGAGCAGCAGCAGGCAAGAGCACAGTTACCTAAAATTATAGGCACTCATTTTAGCACTGCAGCATTTCCATCAGTCACTTCCACACGGGCAGTGCCCACATGCACAGCTCCCTCAGGCCCTGCACCAGCTCCAAAGCTGCAGCATTTCAGGCATCTTTTGGGTTTTAAGTAGGGATGATGGGCTTGGACAGAGCCTGCAGCTCTGGGGACAGAGGGAGAAGCTTCAAAACTCAGTCTAGTTTGCAACTCCTTACTTTCCTACCTCCCACTTTTGGCTTTAAATTAAGGTCCTTTCCAGCCTGGGTTCAAATCACTAAAAGCAGATGCTGAGAGCACTTTAGCTGCTGGTAAAACCAGTGACTTGGGGTCTTTTCTATGTTCGAATTTGCTCTTGTTTTTAAGGGAAAAGGTCAAGAAGGAAAAAGCAGCATCTCCTCTTTTTGCTCAAGGAAACCCTGCCCACAGCAGGGGGTTGGAACTAGATGAGCTCCAGTCCACAGGATTCTATGGTCCAGGATCCATTAGAAGACTGAGAGGGTGTATTGACCTCACTGGAAGATCAAACACCCAAACAAGAGGATTCCAACACTGATTTTTTGTTACATCATCTGTCACACTATACACTTTTGTTTATATCCTCATGATTTTTGTGCAGGAACAAGCAAATTAATGCATATTATCACACTGTCCTCATCCATCCAGCGATAAAACACAGCAGAACTAAGATCCTAGGAATCACCTTTCCTGTCTTTTGTTCCCTGCTTATCTCTACAGGAATTTGCACTCTTATCCCGTGTGATTTTTCATCCTTCTCTACCACTGACATCATGTGGCTTCCAGTTTGTGCCTCTGACTGCTAAGCAGCTTTTATGCTAAAATCCAAGCCCTGATTCTCTGCAGAGTGCTCAACAAATATCAGATAGCACTGAGAACACTGAACTGTGCCAACAGGGAAGGAGCAGACAAGGAAATCCATAACCCAAGCAGACAGACTTCAAGCTCCAAATCTAGTTGCTGTGTTTACAGAGGTATTAAGAGTCATTTATGAAACTGCTTAAAAACTCCAGCACAAAGACTGCAGGGAATGGTGTGATGGTGAGGAGGAAACCACCATGGCAGAGCTGTTGGTCTCTTCTCCCAGGCAACCAGCAGCAGGACAAGAGGGCACAGCCTCAAGCTCTGCCAGGGGAGGGTTAGGTTGGATATTAGGAAGAGATTTTTTACAGAGGGAGTGCTCAGGCATTGGAATGTGCTGCCCAGGGAGGTGGTGAATTCCCCATCCCTGGAGGTTTTCAAGCTGAGACTGGATGTGGCACTTGGTGCCATGGTCTAGTAACCACAGTAGGGTTGGACTTGATCTTGGAGGTCTTTTCCAACCAGGCTGATTCTGTGATTCTATATTCTATGAACTAATCTGACTGTTATTGACATTCTGATGCCAAGTGGCAAGGGAAGAGGCTTCATTATTCCATGGCACACCTCCAGGCCTGCCAGCAAGGAGAGGGTCACACCAGCTTGTGCCAATTTGTACCTGCTATGGGCACTGCCTGCTACTAATCACACTGCAAACATGCCCTTACTTCCATGTCAGGCACTGCAAGGAATGGAGACATTATTTGTATAAACCTGGCTTTTTAGGATAAAGTTACTTTTGAAAGTGAAGAGGAGCTTTAATTATTAGGTTACCATTTGTTGTCAGTTCAGGGATGTCCCATGTGAAATGCTGATGTAAAAACACCTGCAAAGGCAGGAGCTGACACAATGAGGGATTAACCATCCCCCAAAAATTTAACATCTCTGCTACAACTGCCACCAGACAGTACTGGAAGTGAACAGGGTTGGAGGACAAGCTGAGGACACACAAACAAGTGCTCATCCCCTGGCACGTGGGATGGTACCATCCCAGCACATCACCTCTGTGTCAGAGTCTATTTGCACTGCACATAAGTGATCTCTACTTTTAATTAATCACAGATTTGTTAAATGAGCTTTAAGACAATTAAACAGGAACTTTGGCTTCTCAATGTGAGGAAAATCACGTGGCAAAAAAATCCAGAATGCTCCGAATACCTCCAGAGAACTAGAAGTCAGGTAACACCTTCACACTGTCAGTCATCATTTCCTGCCTCTGCCTCAACAGTTGAGAAGGTCTTTTAGCAAGGAAATTTGTTTTCAGCACACATCCAGCCCTTCACTCCTCCCCCAGACTGTCAATAAACACACATTTTAACGATGGCTTTGGTGATGATTCAGATCTAACACATCCATTCACACAGGCCATTAAAGACTCACCAAGCAGTAATGATTTTAAGTCTAGGATGAGCAGAGAATTCAAACTAGAGAGATCTGAAAGCACCTGATTACCTCAGTGCAATCCCCAAAGGTACCAGGAAGAGTTAACACAAAACTTTCCCATCCATGATGGATGAAAAGGAAAATCATCAAAGCTTTACTACCACAGGCTCCAATTTGATTCTGTTCCCAGCCCATCTCACACTGCCAAGCACAGCACACTTGGGATGCTCTGATGCAGGGGAACAAGTTGCTGAACTTCATCAGTTCTACACTTCATTTCCTGTCAAGCTTGTAGTAAACTTAGAATTTGATGCAAACTTTCTATCCCCTAAGAGTCTTTTGTGGACTTGAAGGCACTTGGACCAGGATCTGCATGAGGACAGACAGACCAGGCCTTTCAGAATGGCAAATCAGAGTCAGCCACACCTGCCACTGACTTATTTCAGGGGACACTGCTGAAAGGCTCTTCACGAGATCTGGGGCAGTAAACTAGAACTTTAGTGGAGCATGAACTACAGAGAAACTCAAACTGTCTTAACTTTCATTGCCATTCAGGCACAACTTGATCATGAGAGTTATGATAAGCTTTTTGCCCTTGATCCTTGCACAGTACATGACTGAGCACTGCCACTGGACAACTCCAGGGACAGCTCATTACCCTCTGGCACCACAATATTGTCCCTTCACCTTCCCTAACAGTTCCCTCACAGTTTCAGGCCCAAGACCAGTAACATGTGCTCCTTACCTGCTGGGTGGTGGCATCCTGTTGGACGTAAGCCACTTGGGACGGATCTGTAAACAGAGTCTAGACAAAGTGAAAAAGGCTTAGCAAACCAGCCCTGGGGTTGTTTCCTCCCAGCTCACACACAAATCACCCTGTCACCAAGGAATGACCCACACATGAGCCTTGGCCAGCTTCTCACGTCCCTGTTACCACAGCACATGGGTTCAACTTACCCGAGTGGACCTACAGGCATAGAAATTAAACTAAATTTAGGTGGTTCTCCATAAAAAGTTTATATAATTATGTGGCACTTTTCATCTGTATAGCTAAAGGGCTTCACAGGCTTCTCTTTTACTCACAGAAATCACTTTGACAATTGTTGATTTGCTAAAAGGTACAGGATGAAATTCAAGAGCTCTAGCAAAACTATGTAACACTAAGGGCAGGAGAGAATACAACTGTGAGCTTCACCTTCCCGCAAACTCTCAAAATTTCTGCACAATTTCTTTTGAGGCACTGTCAGGGGCATCCTGCACATGAATTTGATATGGTCAGGATGCTCTTTAATGTCACAGAAGACTTGCCGACACTAATATGCTGCAAGAAGAGCCCTGATGGGAGCCTAGAAAAAGCAAGACTCAGAGAAAATTAAGCACTGACTGAGGTCAGTCTTGCTTACTTTGCCAAAAGTTGAAATATCTGAGCTTGTGTCAGTCTGGCTCCAACAAAATAAAGCATAACACAGACTCCTTTAGGGCTTGGATAATTTCATCTCACTTGCATGATAGTGTCTTTTGTGACAAAATGATAGCACTCAGAGTTTTGAAGTTGGCTGGTCAGTGATGTCCTGAGAAATATCCTCTCAGGACATCCCACCAGGTAGGAGCTGGTTTGATGTAACAGCTGAGGACTGCACAGGAGGGACCAGGCCATGGCTGTGGGTGTCAAATACATGCACTGTGCAGCACTGTTAATCTCTCCTGGCAGCAAAGGCATTATAAAACATTCTTGACAAAGTGTTCCTGTTCCTCTTTAATCTGTCCACACACAGGCACAGATGTAAACTCCATTAACCCCATACACACATGTGGTGTCAGGGAATAAAAGCTGTATGAGGTGATTATGCAGAAGAAAGAATATAAAAGGTCTATAAATCAACAACTCTGCAGAGAGGCTACAAATGTAGGCTGAATGCACCAAGATCCTCTGCAAAAAGACATGACTTAAAGGGGATAGATTGAAAGAGGGGAAATATAGACTGGATTTCAGGAAGCTTTTTAATGGGAGGGTGGTGAGACACTGTCCCAGGTTGCCCAGGGAGGCTGTGGCTGCCCCAACCCTGGCAGTGTTCACAGCCAGGTTGGCTAAAGCCTTGAGCAACCTGCTCTGGTGGGAGGTGTCCCTGCCCAGGGCAGGGGGTTGGGGCTGGAGGATCTCTGAGGTTCATTCCAACCCCTTAACATTCTATGAAACTACTACTGTTACTGCAACTATGAACTCTGACAACTGCACTGTGCAAAACAAGGGCTCTTCCAGAAGGCACAGAGAGGGCTCTTAGCTCTTTACTGAACACAACAGAGGCAGAATTTCTGGAGAGATTATCCATGTTTTAGAAAACACCTTTGAGTTACTTATAACCTCACCTTCAGTGAGGTTATAACTTCACCTTCAGTGAAACAACCAGCATTTCATCATTCACAGCCACCACACCCTTTGTGCACATTTGCACATCAGACAAACGAACAGCACGAGGTCCCTGCTCAGCAGTGGGCAGGAAAACAGCTCAGAGCCACTGCCAGCAATTCGCCACTCACACCACCTGGCTGTCACCCCACCCAGGATTGCTTTGCTTTCTAGGTGCCAGACCCGGGGTGGGCTGAGAACCACACATGCCTGTGTAGCTTCCACGGGGTGGATGTAAACGAGGGTGTGCTCCGAGGTGTCCACAGAGGTGTAGGACGTGCCATCGGCCGTGTAGACAACCTGCTGCGAGGGACGGTCCTGCTCGTCACTGTACACGATCTGCGCCACCGTCCCCCCCTCGGGGACAAAGTGCACCTGGGGGGAAAGAGATCACAGAATCAGAGAATCAGCCTGGTTGG